TTCCGATCTGATGTCTATTTTTGGTCAAAAATTGTCTATTCTCGACCAGTACCACCTAAAATCTGTCGTCACAAGCGGGCGCGACGTCGCACGCGACGCTCACGGGCGCGGCGGATTACGATTCTCTTGCCACATACCCCCAGCCCCGGTCAGTAACTGGTGTCGATAACCATCTATCCTTGAGCTCGCACTCTCCTGAAGCGCCAATCCAAACTAAAGTATATCCCCGAGTGATCATTAGAAGAAAAACTGTTTGAATAATGAGCACTATAACCAAAAACAGGAGGGTTTTGATAGGCTACAAATTACGAAAACCTTATAGTTCAGTGATTCGAACAAGTTATCCGGTAGGCATGTACCTGTCAGAACAACGAAATCGCGCCAAACGACCGCCTCCCCGAAAGTTACGGTTCTGTTGTATACCCAACAGTCCCAGTGCGCTAGCGACCGGCGCTGATCAAACGACATTCCTTTTTGCATATCAAAACGCCGATTCTCGCGAGTCGCGAAGCATGAACACAGTTAGATCAAGAACTGTTAAAAAAATCAAAGGAAACGGAAAAAGATAGCTCAAGAGACGAAAAAGATATAGTCTCACCTTCGACTAGAGGCTCCTTTAAGTCGTGATTTTCTGCTCGATGTTTCACCATAGTCTCACCTTGAACCAATGGTGCCTTTACCAACTCTTGATTTTCTGCTCTATATTTTGCCAAACAGGCAAGTGATCTTGCTATAACTCCACTACCTAAAATGATCAGTCACATTTTGAGATACGCTACGTATTTTCTAGAATTCGTATGGCATTTTCATGTGGTTTGGTCTATACAAATACAATGGCATGACAATGACTTACCCCTAGATGCGATTTTCCGGACTTCAGGGGGCAACGAGCTGTTCCTAGTGTTTCGATATTCCAAGCCATGGTCGCATATCCGTACTTTATTGTACTCGCAGCTATCACCATTCTGAGTAGAAGAGCCTAGAAGAACGTAACATTGGATGAAACCTGGAAGAACTTCATCAAGAGCGCCTCTTTCGACAAGAAGCAGATGGCGAGCAAAGACACAAAACATTTTTGAGGTGGTAGTTCCGGCTTTCACTAGAACTTCAAATAGTAACAAACGTATGTTTTGGAGCTGAAACTTCTACCCTCATCTTACAAGCGAATTATAAGCGGTTAAAATTTGCTGTTAAGCAAAGTACTGACCCTCAAATAAAGGCTGAAGATTCGATTGGGCCATAACTTTGCTCTTAGGTTAAAGTGATGCTCCAGATGTGAATCCAGTTACTAGCTTAGTTTATCCAGCAGTTGCGCAAATGCTGGCGCCTACGCTACAGGGCCTCGGAGGCAGTTTCACAATAAAGCGTGCGGGACAAGTTTTCGATGAATGTGACGTTTAAAGCCGACATGTGAGGTTCGTGGAGCATTGTTGGCTTATATATTTCTAGTAAGCCATCCAAACTGTCTGGTGATGAGTTACCTCTTTAAGTAGATAAAAAAAGCAGTGTTGATCCGCAAAGGGCGAGCTTTGTAATTTGCATGATCAAGAGGAGGAGAGCTAACCCTCGGTGGATGGGAAGGCACGGAGGCTCGATAGAAAAGGGGCCAGCGAAGCAGTAACTCTCCCTCTTCTGCTCGATCGATGAATATTTCTGCCGCCCCGCTAGACCGATCTCTTGTTAGTCGACGGATCTCCGTCAATGTTGTATTTTTTTGTTAAACTGCTATCACTTGTCATCATAGCCGTTATCCAATGAAATTGTTTAGTTCCTCT